GTTAGCAGCACAGGCTCTGGAGGGGAGGAGGGCTGCGGACTGGGTGCAAAAGGTAAAGGGGCTGAGAAGTGCAGATTGGTGGTTACAGGACAGTCGCGGGGACGCAAAGTACAGCAGAGGGAGTAGGGTCAATAATGTTTATAATGACTGTGGATGGTGCCAGGTGGGTGTTGGAAATATCGCGGGAACACTTTGTAAAGTGTATGACTGTCTAACCACTTTGCTATACACCTGAAACTAATATAAAATAATATTGACTGTAAACTGTCATGGGGGGGGAATTTTAATTAAAAAAAAAAAAAAATCGAGCGCAGGCTCTGGCCTTGTCCCTGAAGGAAACGGACAGACCTCGTCCAAGCCTGGTCCTGCCATGACGGCCTGTGTGACTTTGGACAAGTCCCTTAGCCACTCTGCTTCATTTTCCTCACCTGCAAAATGAATGTCCCGCTACCTGTTTGTCGTGAGGACTGGATTCAGAGGAACACGCCCAAATACAGTGCTCAGCACACAGCAGGTGACTGACGAACAGTGGGGAAGTGACTAGTTGGCCTCTGGGGGCCCCCCCTCCTGCTAGAGGGGCAACGGCCAGTGACAGAGAAACGGGAAGATCGTCTGGGAGGACAACTTACAGGGCAGAACATTATTATAGCGGTTCTTTCCTCGATTCTCAGCCAGTTCAGCTGCATATTTAGGTTGATTAATCCCAACAAGCTTCAGATCCTGAAAATAAAGCAAATGAGTTGTTCATTTAGTCAGTGTTCAAATATTATTTATACTGAGCACAGAGTATGTATTATTTATACTGACCGTGATGAGTACCGCTAACCCCACAGTGTGGGGTTACCATATATTTTCTATACCATATATTTTCTATAGGGTGTGTCATATATTTTCTATATACCATGTATTTTCTATAGGATATGTCATATATTTTCTATATATCATATATTTTCTATATGATATGTAGCAGCTATTTCCAAACTTTGTCATCTCATGGCACACATAAACTAATTACTAAAATTCTGTAGCACACCAAAAATTATATCTTTTGCCAATCTAACCAAAAAAAATAGGTATAATTTTGATTAATTCACACAGGACGGCTATTGTTGTGTTGGCTGTTGTCATTTTTTTATCTGACAATCTAAGGAAAAGAGGTCAGTGTCCCTGACTAAATAGTCAGGTATTGCATTTTTAAAAATTCTTGCAGCACACTGGTTAAAAATCACTGGTATCAAAATAAAAAATCACTGGTATATAGGAAGGTTGTTAAGAGAGTAAAACCTAAGAGTTCTCATCACAAGAAAATACCTTTTTCTATTTTTTTTTCTTTTCATTGTATCTATATGAGAAGATGGATGGTAGTCGAACCTATTGCGGTCACCGTTTCATAATATATCTGAGTCAAACTATCGTGCTACATGCCTTAAACTTACACAGTGACGTATGTCAATTAGTTCTCAATAAAAGTTGGAGAAAAATGAATCGACATAGTCGATTTTTTGTGTGTAATTATATCTCAATAAACCTGTTTTTTTAAGTAGGAATGCTGAGATGTGATGGGTTAAATTATGTCCCCCCCAAAAAAAAGATATGCTGAAGTTCTAAACTGCGGTCCCCGTGAGTGCAACCTTACTTGGAACTACGGTCTTTGCGGGCGTAATCAAGATAAGATGGGGTCACACTGGAGCAGGGGGTCCTTACCCGCCTGTGACCGATGCCCCTCATAGGAGGGAGGCGGAGACAGACACACAGGATGGAAGAATGGAGGCCGGCCTGGAGCTCTGCAGCCACAGCCAGCAGTGCCTGGGCCTCCACGAGCTGCATGAAGCAGGGTGGGCTCCTCCCCTACAAGTTTCCGAGGGCACAGGGCGCTGCCCAAGCCCCCGATTCTGGACGTCTGGCCTCCAGGAGCATGGAGATTACACTTCTGCTGTTCTCAGCTCCCCCCGTGGGAACTGGTCACGGCAGCCACCGGCACCACACGAGTGGTGCGCAGATTTCAATGCAGGCAGAGGTGCCGCAGGGCGGACACGCGCGGAGGGCGGGGTGCGGGCCGTTTCTGGGGGAGGGGGTCCCCCCTGGCCTGGGGGAGGGGGTCCCAGCTGGTCTGGGGAGGGCACACGGGGACTGAGAGACAGAAGCTCTTTCCACACAAACCCTCCAGAACTCACCTCCACCGCACGGCCTCAGCCCCAGCCCCCAAGCCCCATCTCGTGCCTCTGCAGCTCACCCAGCGTCCTAATTACTTTCGTTCCCACCCTCTAACTTGAATTCCCAGTTTCTGTATCTCCGCAGCATCTTCAGGTATCAACACCACGAGAATCGAAGGACCATCTAAGTGCTCACACGGCCACAGTGTGACCCTGCGGGACACACGAGAGCCTCTCCCCCCTCCAAGAGGGTCGCCTCTTTCCCAGAGCTTCCCCACAGAACAAAAATGGGCAGTTTTACAACTTTCAGTAAAAACAAAGCAATGAAAAACGCAGTGTTTACAGCCACCCACTTCGTATTCTTCTGCAAACCCACAGTTGGAGTCAGCTTGCTGTTTCTTAAAGTAGGTCTCAAAATTCTCCACTTTGACTAGCTTGGACCTAAGAAAACAAAGCAAGTATTAGGATGTTTTACATGCAATAGTTTGAAATAGAAAAACACAAGGTATTAAAAAAAAAAAAAAAAGCAAAGAGCTTACTCACTTTTTAGGTCTTCATCATAGAAAGGGAAAGAAAGAAAAAGAGGCAATTAGAAAACATGACTCAACCATGCCTCTGCAGAAGACAATAAACATCTTCCCAAAAGAAGAAAATCTATAGTATAATTTTTGGGAGGGAGAGGGAGTTGGGGGAGGGGGTCAGTATAATGTTATTTATAAAACTCGGAAATGTGCTCCAGGAAATTCGACTTCTAGACCCTGTGATGTAACAGGTTGGCCTTGTAACGTTGAGCAAGTTCGCGGCTCCTAGATCCTGATAATCTATTTTTTAAATCGTAAAATATCTATTTATTGGTGGAACTGTTGGCAGAATATGGTCAGTGTGGTCCTACTTGCCATGTAGCACATGGTAGGAAGCTGGCGCAGGAGACTGATGACCACAGATTCCTCGCAGGATAAAGCTAGCGAGAACTCCTGGACGGCCGTGGCCAAATGTGTCAATTGGGAAAAGTGACAGCGGGTTCCATCAAAATTCTCTAGACAGTTACTGAACAAAAGGGATTGAAATAAAGCTCACAACGCTATGACTTACTTAATCTGAGAAAAGGACACTTCATTGTTCTTTGCATCTTTCCTGTTTTAAAAGAAAAAAAAAATTAGACTAAATGGGTTAACTGGGTGCTTTGCCCCTTTCACGTATCTACAAAGTGCCTTTTCCCAGGGCCTTAGTTCATATATGACATTAAATCCTGCTCCCTGATGCTAACCTTAATAGCCTAAGCTACGAATGCTGACTATAAATCTGAGGAGTTCCTCTCTTTTATACCATCTAGAAGTGTGGAGGAATCTTACTCCAGCAGCTTTTAGGAAATTCCTTGCATAAATAATGTGTCAGCAGCATTACCTTATTGTAAAATGAGACTCACCGTTTCACACTCTGCGTTTTAGAAAGCCTTGCCAATGGGTTAATGCAATAAACCAGAAACTATACCCAGCACAGGGAAGGTAGTGAGGTCCCTGGTGCTCTCCTGCACTCTTGGCCAAACCCCATACTGGTGTTTTTAAACAACACTTTCTGGAAGACAATTTGGCACTAGAATCAAAATCAAAAGCATGTAGACCCACGGACCCAGCCACTGCCCAGGCTGGAATTGAAGGAAATAATCATGAATGTGCCCAAAGGTTGAGGCACAAGGATAAATAACTGTGGCAAAGAAAAAAATTAGGAAATTGGTTAAATAATATACAAAAAGTTAAATATTCTGTAGCGACTTAAAATGAAGGGATGAAGCTGACCAATCTTAAGAGCATAAAGCAGGCGAGAAAACAGTGTGTGTATCATATGATTCCACTTGCGTGTGTGCGCGCATGGACGTATTTGTGTGAGTCTTGCTACCATGTCCATGTCAGGGGTAGTTTCGTTTAGGTGCTGCGATTATGGATTATCTATTTTCTTGGCTCTTCTTTTGCTTTGGTTTGGTTTTGGGGTTTTTCCCACACAGTACGTATTACTTTTATTTTAACAAGACACAGTGAAGCTGTTTTTGCCCCAGCCCTTGCAAAAAAAGTATCAGAATCTAATGCAAACAGCTTCCTCCTTGCAGTGGGGCCTGTAAGACTTGCCTCACGGAGCCTCATGAACAAGAATCCATGGGAAGCACAAAGCCAGGCACACGGGAAAAGCTCAAAGTGGAGCTGTTATTTTTACTATTTAATCACCTCGAACGATAGTTGTACAGATGAACTAATCCCAGCATATGGGGTGCAAACGCTGCAAAGCACTTTATTTAATGCTCTTCAGCAGCATGAGTTCGACACTGTTGCTATCACCCCGTCACCGCTGAGGACAATAATGCTAAGCTCTCTACCGGCTAGTCGGGGACAGGGCACGTGTCCAAAGTCAGCTAACTCCAAACCGAAATCTCTTAACGCCGGGAAGCTGGTTTGTGAACGAGAATGCACCGTTTGGAAGCAGCGGCCTGCGCTGCAGTGCCTGCCCACGACCGATGTCGGGCTGGGGTCTGCTTCAAAAGCCCCCAGCTCGGGGCGCAGGTGAAATGAGGCTATTCCTACAGTCGAGACTGTGGGTCATGGGGACCTGGGGGCTCAAGGCACCGTTCCTTCCAATTGCGTACAAGTCTGAAGCCTTCCATAATAAAAGGCTTCCTTTAAAAAGCAGGGTATTATTATTAGTATAAGCAATAGTTACCTTTTCTTTCTCCAGAAGATGAAGCCTCCGACAGCCACAATAACCATGGCACCGAAGATACATCCAAAAACGGCTCCGCAGATGACACCTGGGAAACGTGCAAATGGGAGGCACCTTCAAGAGGTGTTCCTCAAAGACTGGGAGAGCCCTCAAACCTGAGTGCGTGCGTGCGTGCGTGCGTGTGTGTGTGTGTGTGTGTGTGTGTGACAGACACAGAGTTCAGGACCTTTGGACCTAAAACCAGTCTGAGCATTTGGGTTACTAGTCCCCAGTTCACCAGTAACTGGAGGGGCCCAGAAACTCACTGCTCCTCCCAAGTCTCGGTTTCCCCAATGGCACATTTAGGGAACTGGGCTAGATCAGTGATTCTCAGGTTCTTACCCATGGATTTCTTTCTTCAAATGCAACTGTGTGCAGCAGCCCTGATATTATATAAACTAGGAATCCAGACAGAACCACTTGAGTTAAGGTAGGGGTGGGAGTGGGGAGTATCTCGGGCTCAGCTCTGTTTGGTGAAGCAACCACTGGATTACCTCTCACCTCTGAGACTAACAGCCACGTGTGAGTAGAAGTACCTACAGCACCGTGCTCAGGTAACACAAACCCATCTATTTACTGGGGAGAGTGTGGAGACTCCCTGCATTTTGCTCCTGGGGCAGGAATTCTTTCCCATAGCAAACAGCTACCAAGTGTGAAAACCAGACAGACTGACAGCCAGTGGGTCAATATGACTGTGGCCTGAGAGGGAGGGGATGATTCCTGCTTGGGCCCCCGATGCTCCTAAATCACCTCGCTCTGTGTGATAAAGGGGAGGAGCACCTGACACGGGGTCTGAGACCAAACGCCAGGCCTGCTCTAAGCCGCAGGAAGTCATCGCCCCTCTCTGGGCCTTAACACCCTCATTTCTGAAATGAGTCAGACAAGACGATGCCTGTGGCTCCTTCAGGAATTCTACGCGCTGAGCCCGCTGTGCGTCTGGCATGTGGGCATACAAACAGCTGCACTGAGAAAAAGGACTCAACAGTCTGCAGACCGAAGTGCAGCTGGCACTCAGAATGGGGCAGGGACCTCATGGCCAAGTGACATCTCAGCCTCTGAGAGGAGAAACCGGGTGCTCCAACCCTCCTGGAGCCCAAGGGAGGCCTACGGACACCCAGCCTTCTGTGGACACCAGCAGCAAACACCCCCCTGAACTGCTAACAGCACTTAAATTCTTCCTCTACCTGGATCCTGGGGCAAGGAAACGGCCTCTGAGTAGCGGCTAAAGGACACGTAGCTCCCGTTCCCGTCTATGAGTCCACTGTCAGGGCTAAAGGTGATGTTGGTGAAGCCGGCCACGCAAGCCCTGTGGGACAAGAAGAAGAAAGGGAGGCAGCTGAGATATGTCCATCTCCCGGGCCTGTGCAGCTCTGCACCCAGGAGGCTCAGCCACAGAGGAACCAGGAGACGTTACCGATAGGAGCCCAGGGGCTCCAGCTTCCCGTTGTAATAGCCATGCGTGGTTGACTCGTTCCCCACATTGACTTCATATTTCAGGACCTCAGACAAGCCCTGGGAACGTCTCTGGTCTTCTGTCGTTATGAGATATGTCACGTAGGTAGCCGAGGCCCCCTTTTTGAAATCTCCATAAGTGTGGCTCAAAACCTCTGCAGACGGGTTAGCTAAGAAAGGCACACAGAAGGGACGTCATGAGAAAATGACTGCGGAGAGATCAGGCCTCCCACAATCTAAATAATGACAGTGACACTGGGTGACAGTGATAACAGCCACCATCTCTCAAGGATGCTTTCTGTGCCAGGCCTTTACTTGAATAAAGTTCTAAGTGCTTTACTTACATTAACTCATTGCCCCACCACCATAATCTCATCACATAGGTTTATTATCCCCATTTGACAGATGGGAAAATGAAGGCACAGAAATCAAAAAGGACCCGAGGCCACACTGTAGACTCAAGTGCGTGGTCTCATCCATCACAGGCTGGTCCCCAGGCAACACTGCCTCCCTCGTTCAGCAAAGGCCTGGGTATGGAATGTGCTGAAAACCTTCAGAGCAAAATAACTAGGCCCTTGAAACAGACCCGAAACAAAAGACAGAGAGAGAGGGAGAGATCTCAACATCACTGCTGGAAATTTTGCTGCAGGTTTGTGAGAGCAGCGAGTTCCTCGTCTTGCAGGCTCGCACCCCCGGCTGTGTGTCTGAGCTGCAGCTCCCTCGAGGAGACAGGACGGTATCACAGGTTGAGAGGCTCACAAGGAGCTGCACTGCATGATTCACATGTAAGGAACCCCCGAATACAACTCAACTTGGCGTCTTCAATCCAGGCCTCGTGCGAAGCGCCCCCACGCAGCTGGCACAGACCCCACGATCATTCCTTTGCTGCTTCCAGAGAATGCCCTGGAGCCCTTTAAGGATCAGCAGCCTTTCGTCTGCCTCCTCGCTCAGCTATGAGGATGCTCTTTGCAAGTTCCCACTACAGATGCAAATCACTTCGTCTGCCTTCAAGAGAAAGCCACACTGTGCCAATAAGTTGTGTGTGTGCATTGGCATGGGTGTGTGTGGGTGTGTGTGTGAGAGAGAGAGAAAGAGACAGAGAAAGTTGCTTAAGACACATTCTGCCACCTAAAAGATAAGATCTTGTGTGTAAAAGAGCTGAAAACCTAGATCTGAGGTCGGCAAGTTGTGGCCCGTGGACCAAATCCAGCCAGCCGCCCACCCTGGTAAAGAACACTTTATTGGAACAGCTGCACTCATTCCTTCTGTGTCCTCTGTGACTGCTTTCCCACTACAATAGCAGAGCTGAATAGCTGCGACAGAGACCGTAAGGCCTGCAAAGTTTCAAACGTTTGCTGTCTAGCCCTTTACAGAGAGTTTGCCGTCAACCCCTGATCTGCATCATCAGGCAAAGAGCGGACCCCTCCCACCTCCATCTGAGTGCCAAGCGTGGGCCACAGTGTATTTGTATCTCTAATGTGCCTCGGGGGGCACAGAAATGGGGCCTGGTCAGGGCGTTGCTCACTGGTTGTTACCCCATAATGACCCCCTTACCTTCCCCAGTGGTAAGGATGACAGCGTAGGCCTTGATGGGTCCATGGTTGGCTTCAAACCCACTGAACTTGACCTTTACCGAATTGTGACTGACAGACGTAATATTAGGAGACCCATCTGGCGCAGGGGGGTCTGAAAATAAAGCAAAACAAAACATGATCCCGCATAGGAAACCAAAAAGGAACACAATTATTAAGAGCAGAATTTGCAGTGCCCCCCTCAAGCTCTGTCCCTGCCCTGGAAGCTGTGTGCTGGGCTCACACAACGCAAATGCAGAAGCAGGAGCAGGGAAGGAAGCGGGGGGAGCCTGCCTAGCTCACAAGGAGCCTTCAGGGGTCCCAGCCACATCCCCGGGGCTGCCTCCTGCACACAGCCTCGTTGGTGGAAGACACCATGCATTTCTTCTTCCCTGGTCCCTCCTGAGCCAGACGGCACTGGGCACTGGGACGGGCCAGTTGGCTGAGAAGACAATGGAGCCGAGGGAAGCAGGGTGACAGGGAGAGAAGAGACTTTCTCCCAAGACCTGGCCACGCTCCTGCTCCATGTCCTGCACACTCATGTCCTCGCTTCGCTGCAGGAAGTTAAATGCCACCTGGAGAAACCCGACCGACCCTCTCACAGGAACCAGAAAAGCCCACATGGGCACATCCCCCATGTGTGCCTCGCCTCCCGAGCAAAGCGCATGCAGCCCCCTCTGAATTAACACAAAAGGAAGAAAATGCTGAATTAGAGATGAGCCCCCTCCACACGCTCTCTGCCTAAATTTGTCTCCCACACACAGTTCATTTTCATTGTTATGTTCAAGGTGTAGGGAGACATGGACCACTGAACTCCCAAAAAATCACAGTGCGTTCTCCAAACTCGCCCTGAGCAATGTGGCAGCCACGCCTCACGCAGCCATGGAGCCCATGGAGCCCGTGGAGAGTGACTAGTCCACGTTCAGAGGTGCTACACGTGTCAAGCACAGACTGGAGGTCAGAGACTTAGCGCAAAAGCAGAACGTAAAATACCTCACTCATAACTGACTTCATACAGATTGCATGTGGAAATAACATTTTTAATATACTGAGTTAAATAAAATATGATCGAAATCCATTGCAGTTGTTCCTTTTTACATTTTCTTAATATGGCTCCTAAAAGAATATGAATTATATTATTTATCATAATCTAATACATTACATTACACATGAGGGTCACAGTAGGTTCCACTGGACAGCACAGCCCTAAACTGGTTTCAGCAACCTCTCAAGTAACAGACAGCAGTGGCCACTTGGAGGCGGCCACTGTGTCTAATTGTCAACTGCAGGGACTTCCAACCAAGGCTCCCACGTTTCCCAGCAGCTCTGTGCCTTTCAGCCCACCAGCCTCCCACCCCGAGACTGTCAGCAGCAGGCCAGCTGACCCACCTCCAGGCCTGGAAGTCCCTCTCCCTGCCTATCGCCACCCTGCGCCCCAGGGCCCTGCCCGCTTCGCTCACCGTGTCCCTAACCCCAGCACACAGCGAGCACCCGGCAATGTCGGCTGAAAAACTGCATCCCTCCCTCTCCCTTGTTTCCCGCCCTGGCGATGCCTGCTGCCTCTCAGAGAAAATACAGCTCCACTTTCATTTAAATGAAAAACATGTTACATTTGTACATTTTTTTTTAAAGCCTGTTAAATTTGTACATAAAAATTCATCTGAGGAAAGAGGGCTACAGATCAATGACTAAGAGAGTCATTGGACGAAATGACAGTGATCGTTACTCAATCCCACCGCACACGGTTCAGCTTCAGACGCCACCAACTCGGACAAGCTCCCACTGTGCACTAGGCACTGTGCTCAGCCCTGGAGACACCGAATCAGACACGGTCTCGGCCCCTCAGGAGTTTATACCCACTGAGGAGGTGACATCGTAAGACAGAACTACAAAAAAGCACCAGCAAGATCCATTGTTTCTATTATGTTCTGGGCACTGCAGAACCCCACAGGAGTGGGAACCAGGGTAGTCCTGTACAGTCGTGCACTACACAACTCCAAGGAACCCCAGCACGCCAGAGTCCATCTGAACAGTGTCCCCTGGGACTGTGCCATGCACACCTGAGCGGCCACACAGGGCCGCCCTTAGGTGGCCTTCTACACACATTATTGCCTCATCTAATTCGTGCAACAGTCCTCGAAGGTAGGTATTATTATCCCCTTCCATGACTAAGGAAAACAGGGCTCAGAAAGGTTAAGTATTTTTTCTGAGGTCACACAGCTGGTAAAAAGCAGAAGTCAGAATCAAAACCCAGGTCTGGCTTTATAAGTCTGAGGCTCTGTCCCCAGAATCCCTCAACCACTTTCCAAGTCAGTGTCATCCCCGAAGTAAGAGGCCTTTTTTTCCTACTATTACAACCATTAAATCTTTAGGAATTGTCTGGAAACATTCTGATACTCTAAAGGAAACATATCCGTGAGTCTAAAAGCACAAAGCAAAACCAACTCAACCAGGCCGATCTAAGACATAACTTTGGCAAAGACACGGGGAGCAAAAGACAGATAAAAGTGAAGCACAGACAGAAGCAATTTTTTCTAAGAACAACAACAAAGAAAAGATGGACATGAGATGGTTAACTAGGGGGGTGCCCTGTGCAGTGAATGATCCCATTTCCCAAAACCAGGGAGCCTGTTAATATGGATTCTGGGGCCCGGCCAGGTGTGGCTCAGCGGTTGAGCATCAACCTAGGATCCAGGAGATCGAGGTTCGATTCCGGGTCAGGGCACATGCCCAGGCTGCGGGCTCGATCCCCAATGACTCTCTCATCATTGATGTTTCTGTCTGTCTCTCTCTCCCTCTCCTTTCCTCTCTCTGAAATCAATAAAGATATATTTAAATATATATATATATATATATGGATTCTGGGGAAATACAAATCTTGACTAAATATCTGATAATAGCGAAAAAAGTATTGTTAAATTTTTATGTGAGATGATAATAGTAATGTGGTTATTTTTGACAGAAAGGAAACAGGAGTCCCTATCTCAGAGCAATACATACATACATTTTATTTATAAATAAAATTCTAATATGACCAGACCTGGGATCAAAGTGATTACACAGGGAGGGCGGATACAAATGAAACGAGATTGGCCAAGTGCCGACAAGTGTTCGACTGGGTGACAGCGAGTCCATGGGTTTCTTTAAGCTGTCTTCTACTTTTTTGTATATTTGAATATTTCTATTAAAATATTTTTTAACGCAGTAAGGGAACTCACTACTTAGAAAATGTAGCAATGAATTATTCTGCAAAGCAAAGGAATATAAAACATGAGTCCCTCTTACTCTGATCTTTTAGACTGGACTTCTATAGAATCAGGTTAACAGTCTATGCCAACCGAAACAAATATTTTAGCAAAAATTCAAAAACACACACAGCAGATTTCTAGGCCACACTTGCAGACCCAGGAGGTCAGCCTCTCGGGAGGTACCCACAATGCCACCAGACCACCCTGCCGCCACGAAGCCCACCTGTGATGCCCGTGAGGCAGGCGTTTTGGGTGGGAGGGGCCATCTTGTTACAGGACACGGCAGTGACGTTGATGTCATACGAGGTAGAAAAATTCAAGGATGTGACTTCCGTCCTGTAATCCGCGCCGTCCTCCGAGGAGCAGCCCTCCAGGTAGGTCGTATTTTTCCAGTCTCCCTGGCTGACCTCCAGCTGGAAGCCTGCGTTGGCGCCGGGTGGGCAGGCCCACTTGAGCACCAAGATTGGCGTTTTGGGGATCACTTCACAGCGGAAGGAGGCTACCGGGGCTGGGTCTGCGAAGCAAGCACAGCATGAGACTCTGGGGCTCCTGCCTCTGCAAACACCAAAACCTGGGGGGCAGCGGGATCCCGGTCCCTCCACGAAGAGGTGGGGGCGGCAGTGGCTGACGCGCCGTGTGGTAGAAGAGGCAGGGGCTGACCTTGAGCAGGGCGTTACTAAACCAGGTGCCCTTGGGTCCGGCATCCTACTGCTCTGAGCCTCGGCTGCAGGACTCGGAGGATCACGTGAAGCAAAGGCTGCTGGTCACCAAACTGGAGGAGAGCAGGGCTCCCTGAGAGGCACTAGCAACTTCCTCACCTGAGTCACCTCATTTAGGGGATTACTGTCCCATTCTGCCGACGAATCAGCTGCGGCTTAGAGAGGTCTAAGTGATTTATATAAGCTGACTCAGCTGATAAGTGGGGAAGCCAAAACCGGATCCCAGGTTTTCTAAATCCAAGGGCAGGGCAGTGCCTATCTTTAAATCAGGTGTTAGTTGTCTCTACCTATCTGAGGGCCAATAGAATTATACCGAGAGCCGACATCACACTGATGTAAATGAAAAACTGCATATTAATGTCCTGGGGGGAGCATCATCATTACTTTAATGCTGCAGTGTTTTTAAAGCAGGAAAACAGGTCACCTAGTGCGACTCCCACGTTCTCCACCTGCGGCCTGGCAAGGTCACCTGCCCAGTGCAGATCGGCTCCCACAGCTCCTGTTCCAGCCCCCCGCAGTCACAAATGCTCGTGTAATACCTTCTCCTGCTTGGGGGCTGCGATAATTACAGCTAGGAGAAGTGTTGGCAACGGAAGCCATCCAAATACCACGATCAGAGTCTAGACCAGGTGGGATGGAGCCCCAGTTAGCAACGGTGACTCAAAGCTGCAGGGATTTCTTTAGCTGCTCCATGTGTAAGGTCAGAGGTCATCAAGGTTCCAGCCCCTACACTACCAGGGAGGCCGATCCAATGAGTCTCCCCGCTTCCAAACCGGCCTGAACACACTTGAATGGCTTGGTGTAAGGAACGGAAGGTGCAGGTACAAAGGGAGTGGAGGTTAAGATGGTCCATGGGCCACAGTCAGAGCTGTGAGCTGAGGTTCTCAAAACCGTCTGCAAAGCAGTCCCTGGGCTACTCTCTGGAAGCTCCCTCGGCTGAACAAAGGGCTCCCCTTCTCTCTTCATCACACCTTTCACAGTGAGAGGCAAGGATCGAGAAAGGCGTAGAGCTGAGCATCCAAAAACAACATCCTTTGCATCTTCTTAGAGTAAAAGGCAAATATACATTACAATCTAGACGTCGTCTGTGTCCCACCCATTACCTCTCGGGCGTCACCGTCTACCCCTGCCCTCTTGCTCCCGTGGACCCACTCCTGCCACCCTGCTCTCCCTTCAACACAGCAGGCACCCGCCAGCCTAAGGACCTTTGCACTGGCTGCTCCTCTGCCTGTAAAGCTCTACGCCCTGATGTCCACATGGCTGGCTTTTCTACTTCCTTCAGATCTTTGCACAAAAGTCACCTTTTCACTGAGGCCTTTCCTGGGCACCTTGATGAACACCTACTCTCACCCTTCCTTGTGTTTTCCCCTCTCCTTGGCAGTAATCACCATCTAATAACTAATTTATATTGTTTATTATGTCTTCCCCACCAGAATAAAAGTTCCAGGAAGGCTGGACTTTGAATCAGAGTCATTTTAAAGTGCCTGGCATATAATAAGTGCTCAATAAATACTTGTTGAATGAATAAATGATCAGAGCAACAAGACAGGACTAATAAGCTAATAGGATATCTACGAGAGCTCAGTGTCTGTTATAACACGCCACCTGGTGAAACCTGATAAACTAAAGTCTGGGAAAGACCTGCCTGCAAGGCCAGCACCTCACAGGAAGGAGTCCAAGAGGCACCTGGGGCTACTCACCTGTACAGAATAACTGTGAGCCAGGTGGCAGTGACTCAGTGGCATCCCCCACTTGGGCGAAGATCTTCACTGTGTACTGTGAGCCAGGTATTAACTCGGTGACCGTGGCATAGGTTACGCCAATGCCCGTGACTATTTCAGTTGTGTTGCTGGAATTCCCATCCCTCTCAATAAGAAGGCGGTAGGTGTATGTGGGAGAAGCCTCATCAGGGTTCTGCCAGTTGAAGGTTGCTGCTGTGGTGTTGGTACTTATGTCAATGTCGGACACATTGCTGGGCCCTTGGTTAAAAAATAAAAAGGAGTGTGGATTAGCTTGAACTCCGGGACTCTTTTATATACTGCATCTAAAAATAGCCTGGCTCCTTTCGGGAAAGAATGAATAAGCCTAATATCTGCCGACTCAAAAGATGGAAGGCTTCTCAAAAAGACATTCAGAAAATAACTATACCGATTACATCTCTAAAGAATAAAGTTGTTCATGCTTCTTTTCACACTTCATATGTGTCTGAAATTTTCAAGATACCATTTCCTGACAATTTTTGAAACCTAATTAATGAAAGAAAAAATATACTAAAAAGATATTACAAACTACCATCTCTACTGTACATTTTCTTAGATCGACTATGAGCAAAGCACCCCCCTCTGCTGCGTGCAGAGCTCCCCGTCTGAGCAGTGTGTTCCAACCCCAGTGACAAGGAGACCCTCCTCTAGTCTGCATGCCCGAGGACTGACTGGGACAAGTATGTTTCCCATGCTGATGGGATCACTTTCTGCTTCTAAAGCCAATTCCAGGTTCACAAGGCTCAGCACAGTGCCCCTTGAGAAGAGCAGAACCTTTGCTGAGGCTGCTGTTTTCTGCTTAAACAGTTTCACATTTGACCTGGAACCCCCAAGCAGTGGCCCCTTAGCCGACGCCGACTCCAAGGGAAAGTCAGGGAGACGCTCCCTTAAGAGGCCGCCCTGAGACACTCACGGGTGTACTGCGCCCTGGAGCTGGAGCGCCCCAGGATGCCGTTCACTTCTGGAACAATTGTGATGTTGTATAGGGTGCCCGGGATCAGGCCCCCGAGGGTGATGGCTTTGCTAGAGCTGTTCGTGTGGTTAGAGCCGTACTCAGACACCAGATCCAGACGGTAGGTGTAGTCAGAGGCATTGTCCGTGCTCTGCCACTCCAAGCGCATTTCAGTTGTGGTGACGTGGACCACGCGGATGTCAAACACCCTACTGGGGTCTGGTTGGAAGAAAGGAAAAGAAAGGAAAAGAAAGGAAGTGGGTTAATGGTCATAATAACCTCCAGTTTTATTTCAAAGTCAAGAGAACTTGCTCTTTCCCCACCAAAGTCCCAAATGAGTTCGCATAGCGCAAACTCCAAAACGTGGGTGAGAAACACACACGCTCACTTCTTTCAGAGAATTCCAGCTCCCCCATAACACCGAGGAACTTACCAGGTCACCCCATCAGTTCTCTGGTCCTTTGCCTTTGTCATAAAAGTGCCCCCTTCAGGGACCTTCTAGTAAAAATCATGTTCCATTTCCTAACCCGAGTGCTGGTGACCAGATGGGTTCCGCTTGCGAAAATTCATCCAACTACACACTTAGGATGTGTGTGCTTTTCAGGTATGTTATTCTCAACAAACTGCTTGTTTTTAATCATTCCCTCAAAAGAAAGCAGCTAACACGGTCAGGGATATGGAAGAGAAACACTGAAATGGGGAGCTGATATTCACGGAGTGGGACATTTGAGGCCAGGCTAGAGAAGTGGGGGGAAATGCACCTGCCCCCCCCCCCC